ACACACACACACACACACACACACACACACACACACACACACACATTCATTTTTATATATATAGATGAAATTATCTTCTATGCTAATTAAGGTAGAGGCATAGTTCATTCCTTAGAGAGAGAAACAATAATGAATTGTCTGCTTATACGCTAATGATTCAATGTTTAAGTAAGTTGATAAAAAATATATATATAATAAGTATACAACATTTTAAATACATAACTTTATTATATTATTACATTTAACCCTATCAGCTCAGCCTGATTTCCACAGCAAAATGCATGAAAATGCATGTGTGTCATTTAGACAGATGTTATGTTAAAACTACTCTAAACAGACACAAAATTTAAGTTTGTTGTCTGCAATAGGTGTACTTTTTAATCTAGTATGAATACTGGAAACAGTTATACAACACCTTGCAATTTTTTACAGTTGTGTGGTGTTGTATAACTGATCGATTGTAGGAAACTATATTTGATTGTGTAAGCTTGAATTTTTAGAAATTTGTAATTGTTAAAATATTTTTTTGGAAGTTAAAGTAAACATCCATCGTTAGAAAAAAACTCATCGCATAGCATCGGATCAGATTTCACCTCCAATGTCAACAATCAAGTGGGAAAGTTAACATGTTGTTGTGAAACAAAGGTGGTCCTTAACGAACAACTCTTCGAAGAATGTAAGTCATTGTAAACAATGGATGATCACGTGACCCATTTTCCACGATAATGATATAAAAGCTGGAGTCACCGGAAATTCAGAGCGATTGACACAGGAAGTTATTTTTGAGCTAGTGCCCATTTATGTCTCCTGTCTCCTGATTCTGTCCGAGAAGACAACGGAGGAAGACACTTAGGACTTTCACATCTTCCATACAAGAACGATTGTCACATATGACTCCCCATTAAGACTGAGAAGTATTTTGTTAGAACGATTGTAAGCTCTCTGCGATAAGGAAATTAGGCACGTGACATAGAAGTTAGAGTAGTCGCCAATCTTTTTGTAAATACAGTAGAGCGTCGTTTATCCGAATCAATTGGGGACTGAGGTTGTTCGGATAACTTATTTTTCGGATAACTGATTATGTACGAAAAAATATATTAACCTATCCCGTGTTGAAATTTTTCTCCGTTGTGTGTCGCTTCGTGTTGAATTTTTGTCGATGTTAAGCCTAACGTATACTTTTTAAAATAATAATCGTGGCTATTGTATCATTAAGAATTATTTCTTTATTTCTTACAAACAAAATAAATATATTGAAAAATATAAAAACCAAAAAATATATACTTTAGAGGATGATCTAGTATCAAAAATGTTCGATTCAGCACGACACACAATCCTTGGAAAAACACCACACAAAAGTGCCAGTGCTGCCAGCTAAAAAACACACACCAACAAAAAGAAATATTAGAGTAGCCCAAGATATAGCCAAAGATTGCAGCGCCACAGCACTAGCGAAAATTTAAATTTGCCGACTGGAATTCTTTC